ATAGCAGTTTACAGGTATCTAAAAGGGTGTCATAAGGAGGAGAGAGAAAACTTGTTCACCTTAGCCTCTAAGGATAGAACCAGAAACAATGGGTTTAAATTGCAGCAAGGGAGGTCTAGGTTGGACATTAGGAAAAAGTTCCTAACTGTCAGGGTGGTTAAACACTGGAACAAATTGCCTGGGGAGGTTGTGGAATCTCCGTCTCTGGAGATATTTAAGAGTAGGTTAGATAAATGTCTATCAGGGATGGTCTAGACAGTATTTGGTCCTGCCATGCGGGCAGGGGACTGGACTCGATGACCTCTCGAGGTCCCTTCCAGTCCTATAATCTATGAATCTATGAATCTATGACTCCAAGCTTCTCACCCCCCAAAAATGTCCCCACCAGTTGCTGTCTCAGCCCGTCAGGATAAGGAGCTGGCACGCCGGGACACTTTGTTTACTTAGGTTTACCGCCATGCCTGCGGACGCTCGAGGTAAACAAACCATCTCGGCCCACCAGCAGCTTATCCTGATGGCCCGGGAGCCAAAGTTTGCTGACCCCTGAATTATAGGGTTGGCTTATGAACAGGTTATAAAAATTTTCCATTTTTACTTATCCATCTTGGGGGTGGGGTCGGCTTATAAACGAACCGGCTTATGATCGAGTATATACGGTAATTTAAAATATGCTCCATCTGTGGCATTCCAGGCAATGGCCTCACTCTCTGGGGCAGTCAGCGGGCAGGGCCATGGGTGTATGCTCTGCTGAAATGAATCCATCCCCACCCCCAGTGAAGGCTGCTGGGGCAGGTTTGCAGCACCCACTTGCCTCTGTCTGTACCCATGGCTGGAGTGAGGAAGTTTGCAGAGCTCACACAAGGTCTCTTCTGCCTTTCAGACTGTGGGAGCCGCCCCACCATGCAGACAGCCCACAGAATCGTGGGTGGCACCGAGGCCTCCAGAGGGGAGTTCCCGTGGCAAGTCAGCCTGAGGGAGAACAACGAACACTTCTGTGGTGCAACTATCCTCACTGAGAAGTGGCTGGTGTCTGCAGCTCACTGCTTCAATGAGTATGGCCCCGGCCATGGCACCTTCCCTGACCCCCTTCCCATGGGCAGAGCCGAGATCAGGGAAGGGAATAGGTTGAGAAGCCCTCTATCCCAGTGCTTCTCAACCTGTTTACCATTGTGGGTCGCATATGCGGTTCTCTCTCTCTTATGGGGGCTGCATCCACACACTATATATACTACCTGTACGGCCCTGAGGATGGCTCATGGGATTGGGCCGCAAGCAGCCCGCGGGTTGAGAAGCACTGCTCTAGCTCCATATTCAGCCTCTTGCCACATCTCAGCTGGGATCCTGCTTCCTGCTGTACTGGCTAGGCAGGGCTGGATTTCCTATTCGGCACAGTAGGCACGTGCCGATGGGTGCCAGTGTTCTAGGGGCACTTTACCTCTCTAAAACTGTGTGCTGAGCCTAGGGGTGCGTAAGGTGTAAATCCAGCCCTGGGCCTAGGGCTACGGCCCGACTCCAGCCATTCTGAGCCCATGCAGCCTGGCACCTCAGCACCACGGGGACGCACTGTGCCATGAGGGCAGGGCACTGGGACATGGTGGGGCATTTGTCACAATGGCTGTGGCTCAGCTCAGGTCAAGGCCCAGCAGCCTCTGCTACTGCCATGCCTCACCTTTGACACACACAGCGACTGTGCAGGGGCAGCCTGGAAGGGATCACACATGTCTGTGCATTTCAGGTTTCAGGACCCAGCAGTCTGGGCCGCCTACATGGGAACCATCTCCCTCAGCGGCTCAGACAGCAGCACCGTGAAAGCTGGCGTGGGCCGCATCATCCCACACCCCTCCTACAACACCGACACCGCGGACTTCGACGTGGCTGTGCTGGAGCTCGACAGCCCGGTGCCCTTTAACAAGTATATCCAGCCTGCGTGCTTGCCAGGCCCCGGGCACCGCTTCCCGGCCGGCAGGAAGTGCCTCATCTCTGGCTGGGGCTATCTCAAGGAAGACTTCTGTAAGCCTTGGGGTGGGGCACCCAAGAACAGCAGGGAAGAGGAGAGGGTGGGGACTCCTGAGAAGGGCCAGAGGTAGGGGGAATCCAAGAAAAGCCAGGGGCCCACCCTGAGCAGGGCCGGGGGTGGAGAGGAAGGGGGCACAGCCCAAGAAGGACTGGCAGGACCCTGAGAAGGGCTGTGGGTGTGTGGGAATCCTGAGGGGGGAGGAGGAGGTACACCCTGTGAAGGGCCAGGGGAGAGGGTGCACATAGGGTGCCAACTTCCTAATTGCACTAAATGGAACACCCTTTCCCTGCCCCTTCTCTGAGGCCCTGCCCTTGCTCTCTCCATCCTGCCTCCCTCCGTCCCTCACTCTCCCCCACCCTCACTCACTTTCAGCAGGCTTGGGCAGAAGGTTGGAATGGTGGGGGGGTGAGGGCTCCGGCTGGGGGTGTGGGCTCTGGGGTGGGGCCAGGGATGAGGGGTCTCAGGCCTGGGGCAGGAGGTTGGGGTGTTGGGGGGGTGCGAGCTCTGGGAGGGAGTTTGGGTGCGGGAGGGGACTCTGGGCTGGGGTAGGGGGTTGGGATGTGGGAGGGGATTCAGGGTGTGGGGTCCCGGCGGCACTTACAGCAGCTCTCAGGAAGCGGCCCTGTTAGGATTCCTTCCCCACTCTGAACTCTGGGGTACAGATGTGGGGACCTGCATGAAAGACCCCCTAAGCTTATTTTTACCAGCTTAGGTTAAAAACTTTCCCAAGGCACAAATTTTCCCTTGCCTTGAACAGTATGCTGCCACCACCAAGTGATTTAGACAAAGAATCAGGGAAAGGACCACTTGGAGTCCTGTCCCCCCAAGCCCTGCACCCCCCTTTCCTGGGGAAGGCTTGAGAATAATATCCTCAACAATTGGTACAGACTCAAACCCTTGGATCATAAGAACAATGAAAAATCAATCGGGTTCTTAAAAGAAGAATTAAAGAAAAGGTAAAAGAATTATCTCTGTAAAATCAGGATGGTAAGTACTTTACAGAATAACAAAAGATTAAAAAACACAGAGGATTTCCCCTCTAGGCAAAACTTTAAAGTTACAAAAACAGGGATAAACCTCCCTCTTAGCACAGGGAAAATTCACAAGCTAAAACAAAAGGTAACTTAATGCCTTTCTTTGCTATTACTTACTATTTCTGCAATGTTAGATGCTTAGCTTAGATATGGCTTAGGGAGATGTATTTTCCCTGCCCCTGGTTCCTTGTTGACTCAGGGAGACACCGACAAGAAACCTTCCCCAAAGATTTGAAAGTATCTTCTCCCGTTATTGGTCCTTTTGGTCAGGTGCCACCCAGGTTTTCTGAGTTTCTTAACCCTTTACAGGTAAAAGAGGAATTAACCCTTTACAGGGTAAAGAGGGATTTTATGCTACCCGTAGCTGTATGTTTATAACAGGCCCTAAGGTCCCTGCAGCCCCAAAGCACATGGACGGCCAGGGAGACTCCACGTGCTGCCCGCAGGCACCACCCCCCACAGCTCCCATTGGTCACAGTTTGGTCCAGTGGGAGTTGTGGAGCTGGCACTAGGGGCGGGGCAGTGCACGGAGCCATCCTGGCCACCCATGCGCCATGGGGCCGCAGGGACCTGGTGGCCGCTTCTTGGCAGCTGCGTGGAGCTAGGGCAGGCAGGGAGCCTGCCTTAGCCCCGGACCCCTGCTGTGCTGCCAACCGAATTTTTAACGGCCTGGTCAGCGGTGCCGACCGGAGCCACCAGGGTCCCTTTTTGACTGGGCATTCCGGTCGAAAACTGGACACCTGACAACCCTAGATACACACACTGTGCAGGGCAGGGGGAGAGGGAAGCACACCCTGAGAAGAGCTGAGGAGACCCTGTGAAGGGCAGGGGCGGGAGGGGGCACACCCTGAGAAGAGCTGGGGGAGACTCTGTGAAGGGTGGGGGGCAGGAGGGGCCACACCCAAGAAGGGCTGGGAGGCGTTTTATTGTGCAGAAGCACCGGCGGGTTCCGCAGTCTGCCCAACCACGGGGTTGTAGTGTTTGGCCGCTGTGCTGGCAGCTCCCAATCCAGTCGCTCGGTGTGCGGCTGGTCTGGGGCTGATTCTGCAGGGAAGAGGGGCCCATGGGCTCGGGGCTATTGGCCCAACAGGCAGATCGAGTTTATTGCCTTGTCTCTTCCCACGAGTGGTGAAACCAGAGACCTTGCAGAAGGCGACAGTGGAACTGCTGGACCAGGCCCTGTGCACCAGCCTGTACAGCCACACCCTCACTGACAGGATGATGTGCGCCGGCTACCTGGAGGGGAAGATCGACTCCTGCCAGGTGAGGAGGGGCCTCTCTCAGCACCGGGCAGTGATGTTGTGGGTGTCAACTCCCAGGGCAGGGGCTCATTCCCTTCCAGTCACACACTCAGCCCCTGCAAGCGGCCCATTACAGACCCCTGCCCAGCTAAAGGCTCTGGCACTTGTTACACTAGCCAGCTGCATCTGTACGCCCTGATGGGATGAGCTCTGAGCAGCCACCGGTGCCCTCCTTTGCAAGGGCTGGATGAACACACAGGCAAAGTAGGCATGTGCCTAGGGTCCACATTCCTGGGCGAAGCCTCAAAAGGTTGCAATGCCACTAAGAACATAAGAACGGCCATACTGCGTCAGACCAAAGGTCCAGCCAGCCCAGTATCCTGTCTTCCAACAGTGGCCAATACCAGGTGCCCCAGAGGGAGTGAACCTAACAGGTAATGATCAAGTGATCTCTCTCCTGCCATCCATCTCCACCCTCTGGCAAACAGAGGCTAGGGACACCATTCCTTACCCATCCTGGCTAATAGCCATTAATGGACTTAACCTCCATGAATTTATCCAGTTCTCTTTTAAACCCTGTTATAGTCCTAGCCTTCACAACCTCCTCAGGCAAGGAGTTCCACAAGTTGACTGTGTGCTGTGTGAAGAAGAACTTCCTTTTATTTGTTTTAAATCTGCTGCCCATTAATTTCATTTGGTGACCCGTAGCTCTTATATTATGGGAACAAGTAAATAACTTTTCCTTATTCACTTTCTCCACACCACTCATGATTTTATAGACCTCTATCATATCCCCCCTTAGTCTCCTCTTTTCCAAGCTGAAAAGTCCTACCCTCTTTAATCTCTCCTCATATGGGACCCGTTCCAAACCCCTAATCATTTTAGTTGCCCTTTTCTGAACCTTTTCTAATGCCAGTATATCTTTTGTGAGATGAGGAGACCACATCTGTACACAGTATTCAAGAAATGGGCGTACCATGGATTTATATAAGGGCAATAAGATAGGGAAAAAAGAGAATCCAGGGAACTACAGACTCGCTTCAGTCCCTGGCAAAATCCTCAAGGAATCAATTCTGAAGCACTTGGAGAAGAGGAAGGTGATCAGGAACAGTCAACATGGATTCACCAAGGGCAAGTCATGCCTGACCAACCTGATTGCCTTCTATGATGAGATAACTGGCTCTGTGAATATGGGGAAAGCAGTGGACGTGATATATCTTTACTTTAGCAAAGCTTTTGATACAGTCTCCCACAGTATTCTTGCCAACAAGTTAAAAAAGTATGGATTGGATGAATGTACTATAAGGTGGATAGAAAGCTCACTAGATTGTCAGGCTCAACGGGTAGTGATCAACGGCTCGATGTCTAGTTGGCAGTCAGTATCAAGCGGAGTGCCCAGGGGTTGGTCCTGGGACCGGTTCTGTTCAACATCTTTATTAATGATCTGGATGATGGGATTAATTGCACCCTCAGCAAGTTTGCAGATGATACTAAGCTGGGGGGAGAAGTAGATACGCTGGAGGGTAGGGATAGGGTCCAGAGTGACTAGACAAATTGGAGGACTGGGCCAAAAGAAATCTGATGAGGTTCAACAAGGACAAGTGCAGCGTCCAGCACTTAGGAAGGAAGAATCCCATGCACTGCTGCAGTTCTGCAGAAAAGGACCTGGGGATTACAGTGGATGAGAAGCTGGACATGAGTCAGCAGTGTCCCCTTGTTGCCAAGAAGGCCAATGGCATACTGGGCTGTATTAGTGGGATCACTGCCAGCAGATCAAGGAAAGTGATTTTTCCCCTCTATTCGGCACTGGTGAGGCCACACCTGGAGTATTGTGTCCAGTTTTGGTCCCCCCACTACAGAAGAGATGTGGACAAATTGGAGAGAGTCCAGCGGAGGGCAATGAAAATGATTATGGGGCTGGGGCACATGACTTATGAAGAGAGGCTGAGGGAACTATTGATTTAGTTGGGGATTGGTCCTGTTTTGAGCAGGAGGTTGGATTAGATGACCTCCTGAGGTCCCTTCCAACCCTGATATTCTATGATTCTATGAAAACATGAAAATCCATTAAGGGAAAATGCCCTTTAATTCTGCAGCAAACCCCTCAGCCTGGGCACGGCAAACTGCCCAGCCCACTCCTGCAGCCTGGCCCGCCCACAGTCACAGTCCACCCGCAAGCCCACAGCCAGCCCTGCCCTCCTTGGAACAGCCTAGAGGAAGATAGAGCTTTGCAGCACTGGATAACTTTGAGAGGCTCTCAGATACCATGAGGATGGGTGCAGTGTCACAGCCTAGATGGGCTGCAAAAGACTTGAGGTTGGAACGTAATCTTTGTTACTTAGTAGCTTGAGAGCTCCAGATGCATCTGCCCAGCAATCACACAACAGGGCCAAAGATCAAATCTGAAACCTTCGTGCAAAGGGATGAAACAGCGTCTCTTTCACGTCAGCACGTGGCGAAGAGGAAAGCCTCAGACATGTGCTCTGTATACAGCCCAGATGAGTAACAGCCGTAGCCCAGGAGGAGCACTGGGCCCAGTGAGGAAAATGAAGGTTGACCTAAGACTTGATGGTCAGTCTCATTAATAAGGAGACTGTTAAGAGCTGGAAGCTATTGGCCTAGGTCACTGGAAAGATAATTTCCCCCTTGATGTGCAGCAAGGGCTCAGATTTAAGGCTGGCCACCTGAGAGGCCACTCCACAGCTAAGTGTCTCCACCAGGGCCGGCTCTAGGTTTTTTGCCACCCCAAGCAAAAAAAATTTTGGCTGCCCCCCACCCCAGTCCTGGGTTCTCACCCCACCCCCAACACCACCAGTGCCCTCCCCCAGCCGCACCCCCTGCCGCCCCAGCCCTGGGCTCTCTCCCCCCCCACCCGCACCCCCTGACGCCCCAGCCCTAGGCTCCCCTCCACCAGTGCTGACTCTGTCCACTCCCCCCTCGCCTCCAACCGGTCCAGCACTGGCAGGATCAGGGTAAGCAGTAAGGCTCCCGGGCCGCGCCTCAGCCCAGGGTCCCTCCAGCCAGGGCTCCCGCCTCCAGGACCAGCCGGGACCTGGAAGGGCAGAGCTGGGGGACCGCCCCAGCAGGGGGCTGAGGAGCCGGGGCAGGGTAGCCCCAGAGGGAGTGAAGCCCCGGAGAGCAGGATGTGGGCCCACACGGCAGCACCCCGCCCTCTATGGCCCCGCTGCTGCTTCTGGCCGCCCTGCTGCAGTCCCTGGGAGGCTCGGGTCGCTTCACCCAGCCCCAGCGCTCGGGGGCGGCCACCCTGCGGCATCTGCAGGTGACTCCCTGTGCCCCACGGGACAGCCCCCAGCCCGAGTGTCGGCCGCTCAGAGCCTGCCCGGCCCAGCAACAAGGTGCGGGTGCTGCTCCTCCACGGCGCAAACCACACCGGCCCCAGGGCACCCCCCCACTCACGACGCACTGCTGCTGCCAGGGCCGGCTCTAGGCTTTTGCCGTCTGAAGAAGAAGAGAAAAAAAAAAAGCTGGCCGGAATGCCGCCTCTGAAAACGTGCCGCCCCAAGCACATGCTTGGTTTGCTGGTGCCTAGAGCTGGCCCTGGTCTCCACTAGTTACATTCACTTAATGTGTTTCATCCAGGCAGATCCCCCAAAACATTACAGATTTCGGATCCTTCACCCACCCCTGAAATGCAGCCAGCTGTGGGGTGGTACACAGAAACTCGTTAGCAGCACACAGCAATGCTGCACACCAGGTTAGAACACAGAGTGACGTGTAGGGAGGCGGAGTGCATGGTGCCCAGTTTGGAGTTGGCCGCTGACTCCAGTGATGCATGCTCTTTGTCTCTTGCAGGGTGACTCTGGTGGCCCCTTGGTTTGTGAAGAGCCATCTGGCAAGTTTTTCCTGGCCGGTATAGTAAGCTGGGGAATTGGCTGTGCTGAAGCCAAGCGGCCTGGAGTCTACGCCCGAGTGACCCAACTCCGAGACTGGATCCTTGATGCTATCTCCACCTTCCCCATACCCACAGCCCTCACTGTCCCAACGACACTTTCTAGCACAAACGACGATGCTGCCACCATGGAAGGGATCAGCAACAGCACCACGAGCAAACACAGACCTGTGTCCACCACCTTATCAGTGCCTGCTGCCAGCAAGCCAGCTACTGCTTCCCGTCCGCAAGGTGCTGGGAGGGTCGGGCTGTCTAGTTACAATGATCTTCCCAGGCCTGAAGTTCAGGGCTCTGCCTTTCCACTGAATTGAAACAGCCTTTTCTATTGTGTCCAGCGTGGCCCACATGAGCCTCAAACACAATGCGCAGCCTCTGCTGGGAAGTGCCCTGATCTCCTGAGCCCCAACAGTGGCCTTCCCCAGCATCTCAGTTGCACATGCAGTTTTGTGCACACTTTGCACTCTGAAGATCAGGCGCGTCACAGCTTGAAGCTGCAGGTGTGTTGGGATCTTGGCAGTGTTACTGCCAGCCCTTACCTGGGGAAACACCAGGAATTCTCTCCATGCCCTGAGCACAGTGGCTGAGGTAGCATAATTGCACGTGGCTGTGCTTGCTCCCAAGGCCCTCGCTGTCCTTTGCCACTCAAAGATCTCCTGGCAGTTCAAAGCCTACTTCTGCACCCAAAGAGAGTCCTGCAGCCCCACACCAGCCAGGGAGCAGGGCAAGCTCCGGAAGCCAGCCTGTGTTTGACAGCTCATGCCACCTGGTTCTTGGCCACCCATCAGACGGGCTCTGAGGGAGGAGGTAGATTTTGGGTGTTCCTTCAGTTTCGGGCATTTGGTGGAGGCTCATGGGTATGAGGGGTCACTGGAGTTCAGGCCCCAGTGACTCTAAGCCCCATCCCAGCACGCTGCCACTGAGAACGAAGGGGCTCGAGGGTCCTGGTGAAAGCTGGCGGAAGCCCTGGAGATGACCATGGGTGGCTATACCTGCGCACCTCCTGGGGGAGTGGGGCACCTGTTGGTGGAAATAGCAAGCTTGGCAGGAAGGACTTAGATAAATGTCCCTGACTTGGCCCTGAGCTGTTACCAGCCAGCAGGGGTCAGGGCTCCCTCCTTACCCATCTCCAGAGGCAGCGAAAATACTGATGGGCTGTGCTTTGGCTTCTGTTTAGAGTGCGGAGGGCGACCTGGGCTTTCAAAACCCAGCAAGATCGTGGGAGGTATCGAGGCTTCCAAAGGAGAAATCCCCTGGCAGGTCAGCCTGAAGGAGGGGTCGAGGCACTTTTGTGGGGCCACTGTCATTGGGGAGCGCTGGTTGCTGTCGGCAGCTCACTGCTTCAATCAGTAAGAGCCCATCTCCTCTTGAAAGCTCTGTATGTTGTGTTGTTCCAGTTTCTGCAGCCCCAGCCACACTGCATCATCTGGGGCTGGTGAGAGCTTTTGTTACCGAGTGGTCATGAGGTGAGAGGCAAAGTATTGTCATGGATCAGAAACAAGGAATAGGAATCCATCACCAATGTTCACCATGGCAGACGGTGAACAGCAGGTGCTTCAAGGTACCGTACTAGGTCCCAGGGTGTTTCAATACATTTACTAATGATGCAGGAAGGGGGTTGAGTAGTGAGGAATTAAAATTTGCAGTTATTGCCGTGAGTCAGGACCAGAGAGGACGTGAGGAACTTCAGAGTGCTCGAACCAAGCTAGAGGAAAGGGCAACACAATGTTAGGATGCATAAGGAATGAGATGAAAGAGAATACAAAAACGATTACAATGCTACTATAAAAATCAATGAGCGACCCCATCTGGAAACTGTACTGCACTGTCACTCCATCTCAAAAAGGATAGTACAGAATTAGAAAGGATTCAGCCAACGGCAACAAAACTGGAAAAACTCTCCTAGGATCAGAGGTTGAAGAGACTGAGACTGTTTGCCTTAGAGAGGAGACTAGAAGAAGGGACACGATAAGAGTCTATAAAAATAATGAATCGTGTAGAAATATGTCAGGAGCATCTGTTCTCCCTGTCTCACAGCACAAGGCCAAGAGTAGTCTCCTTTCAACTGAAAAGTACAAACCCGATGAAGGGAAATGCTTTTACCCCTACATACACAGAATTAGACTGTGGAACTTAGTGTCACTGGATGTCATTGAGGTCTAGAACTGAGTAAGATTTAAAGAGGGACTGGACTTTTATATCATGGACAACAAGAATAGTCAGAGTTACAATAGTTAATGCAAACAACAAGAATATTGGAGGGAAATGAAACCTTGTGTTTCAGGGTTTAAACCAGTCTCTGTCAGGGTTTAGACTGGGACCCTCATGGGGGGCAGCGTGGGTTTCTTGCACCTTCCTCTGAAACACCTGGCGCTGGCTAGTCAGAGACAGGACACTGGGCTGGACAGCCTTTGGGCCCGACCCAGGCCAGCCCTTCCTCTGTACCTGCATCTCAGCATGTGGCGAGAGCAGCCCCACTAGCCAAGGAGAGGTCACCCAAAAGCAAGAGCCTCCTTTCACAAGAGGACATTAACCAGCAAGGTTCTGTCCACGCAGAACAGCACATTGCAGGCCCTGAAACTTATTGACCCTCATAAGATGCTTAAGTTTTAGCTGTTCTGAATTCACAGTGTGTGTCCATGTGGCGGGGGGGCACTGTGCACTTGCAGGACAAAGCTGGAATATCTGAAAGCCTACCTAGGTACCACATCCTTAACTGGCGCAGACGGCAACGCGGTGAAAGTCAGTATAAAGAAAGTGGTGCAGCATCCCTCCTACAACCCCATCATCCTGGACTTTGACGTGGCTGTGCTAGAACTGGCCAGCCCCCTTCGTTTCAACAAGTTCATCCAACCCGTGTGCCTCCCGTTAGCTGTGCAGAAGTTTCCCGTTGGCAAAAAGTGCATGATTTCTGGATGGGGAAACGTCAGAGAAGGCAACAGTGAGTAATGGGGGGAGGAATAGCTCAGTGATTTGAGCGTTGGCCTGCTAAACCGAGGGTTGTGAGTTCAATCCTTGAGGGGCCATTTAGGGATCTGAGGCAAAAATCTGTCTGGGGATTGGTCCTGCTTTGAGCAGGGGGTTGGACTAGATACCTCCTGAGATCCCTTCTGACCCTGATATTCTATGAATGTGATTTATCCATTGATTTACTGTGAGCTAGTGAGAGACCGAGCAGCAAATGGCTGCATTCACCCAAGCTGAACAGGCCAGGGGAATAGGAAGGAGGCTGGAGAAGTGGGGTGTCCAGCAGAGAGAGCCAGAAATCAACAAGAGCTCCGGGACCCCAGGGAGAGAATCAGGGCCAAGGAAGCACCCTCTGCCCTCAGGAAGAAAGACAAGGGAGCTGGCAGCTGGCCAGAGCCCAGGGCAGAGTGTGGTGGAGCATTGCCTGTCTACACGTTGTAACTGCCCAAGAGAACGTCAGGGGCTACCCAGTGCCATTGATGAGGTCCCTGCCCCAGACAGCTCAAGCTCACAGCTAAGACTGGACCTGATGGTACTGGGCAGGGGGACAGACACTAGGGAGGGGACAGGGACTGGGTTAAGGCACATGCACTAGCAAAGGGAGCCTCTTGCCCTGCTAGGCAGGGGACAGAGACCACCAGGAAGTTTCCAAAACAACAAGGAGTCTGGTGGCACCTTAAAGACTAACAGATTTATTTGGGCATAAGCTTTCGTGAGTAAAAACCTCACTTCTTCGGA